GCCTCCCAAGTAGCTGGGACCACAGGTGCCCGCCACAATGCCTGGCTATTTTTTGGTTGCAGCCATCATTGTTGTTTTTGGCAGGCTGGGGCTGGATTCGAACCTGCTACCTTACGTGTATGTGGCTGGCGCCTTACTCACTTGAGCCACAGGCAATGAGACACCATTTTTGTTCTTTAAATTTTTATTTATTTTTTTGGAGACAGCGTTTCAGTATGTGGCCCTCGATAGAGTGCCATGGCATCACAGCTCACAGCAACCTCCATCTCCTGGGCTCAAGCAATTCTCTTGCCTCAGCCTACCAAGTAGCTGGGACTGCAGGCACCTGCCACAGCTATTTTTTGGTTGCAGTTGTCACTGCTCTTTAGTAGGCCCAGACCGGGCTCGAACCAGCCAGCCTTGGTGCATGTGATTGGTGCCCTATTCACTAAGCTACGGGCACTGAGCCATAAACCATTTTTTAACTCTTCATCTCTCCACCTTTGTATCTTTGCAAACTGCCTTAACTTTCTATCCTGTTACATACCTTTTTTCCTGCCCCATCACCAATTTATGAACGTATCTACCCTTAAAAAAAATCTTTAATCTTCTATGTTCACAACTTGCTAGTTTATTTCAAGTCAGTCCTTTTTGTGTTCTAGATTTATTTCCTCCTGATTATTTAGGACCTCCTTCATCACATGCTTCCTTTAATTTTTTTTTTTTTTTTTTTTTTTTTTTTTTTTTTTTGGAGACTTAGTCTTACTTTGTTCCCCCCTAGTGGAGTGCTGTGACATCATAGCTCACAGCAACCTCAAACTCTTAGGCTCAAGCGATTCTCTTGCCTTAGCCTCCCAAGTAGCTGGGACTACAAGTGCCCGCTACAGCGTCCAGCTATTTTTCGAGAGGAGGTCTCACTCTAGCTCAGGCTTGTCTTGAACCTGTGAGCTCAGGTGATCCGCCCACCCCATCCTCTCAGAGTGTTGGGATTATAGGCATGAGCCACTGCATCTGGCCACATGCTTCTTTTCCTTCCTCTAGCTCGCTTGCTTGCACACGGTCTCTCTCTCTCTCCACACACACACACACACATATATACACACATATATACATATATATGTATACGTATATATATTTATTGTTATTATTTTTAATGTTTGTTTGTTTAGAGACAGACTCTCACTGTTGCCCTGGATAGAATGCCATAGCATCATCATAGCTCATAGCAACCTCAAACTCTTGGGTTCAAGAGATCCTCCTGCGTCAGCCACCCGAGTAGCTGGGACTACAGGTGTGCATCACCATTCCTGGCTAGTTTTTCTCTTTTTAGTAGAGTCAGGGTTTTGCTCAGGCTGGTCTTCAGCTCCTGAGGTCAATCAGTCCACCCACCTTAGCCTCCCAGAGTGCTAGGGTTACAGGACAGGTATGAGCCACTGCACCCTGCCTCTCCTCTAGCTTTAGTCCTTAGTGGCTGTTTTCTTTCTATACATAAGCAATCTCATCTCTGCTATCTTAAGTTTTGGAGGATGTTAACTGATGATGCTTCCATTTGCCCTTTTTCATTCTCATCTCTTACTCCTCCTTCAACCCTCTGTGTCCTAGCCGTAGCTGTCACCACTTCATTAGAATTACTGTCCCCCAGCTCAGCGCCTGTGGCTCAAGTGGCTAAGGCGCCAGCCATGTATACCCAAGGTGGCAGGTTCGAATCCAGCCTGGGCCCGCCAAACAACAATGACAGCTGCAACCAAAAAA